GCCATAGGGTTTGATAAGATTTAGTGGTCTGGTCTATCCGTAACATCTGGAGGCGAGAGCTATACTGCATAAACAAAACAGAAGGTGACAATCTCAGCTATTCGTGAGCGTTTGTGGTGCCAGAAATTCAGAGCAGGTGTTAAGCATGAAGCTTCTTTAATGTCTGACCGCAGCGAAATAGAGGAAATATGCAGCCACAACTAAGAGGGTGCCAAAGGCACCTATACTGGCTTTCGACGACCGCGTGATTTCGTGGATTGGGAACAAACAATACACGCTTACCGGAGTTACCCGAGTTTCTGCGGCCTCTATTTGTTATGGGAGGTGTTTCTAAGGCTAAGGGAGTTCCTAATTCTTCTTTATGTAAAAATAGATGATTTTACATGTTAAAATCTTGCCGCATTTTGAAATTTAATCGTAACGCTGTTCAGTGTTAAAAACAATAGTCGCTCCGCACTATATGGAGAGGTACTGATGGACAGGCAGAATGTTTAAAGATATAGGATGGTCCCATATCAACGATCCATATAAAAAAGATAGTGGGCATTTTGAGATCAAAGTCAAGTGATTGGAGGTTGCGTTATGTTCCAAACACAAATCGAAGCACTGATGGCTAGAAACTTCACTTTTTCTTTGCAGGCTTTTGTGGTGTATGGCAGTTGTTTAGGGAGCCTACGCGCCAGGCAAGTGGCAGTTGCACGAGAGAGTTGGCCTTGATGAGGTGGCGCATGGCGGGGGCGCGACGCGTTCGGACGCCTGGGACGTTATATTATTGTTTTGTTGTTATTACCGAAGTATTGGGAAAATACTCACTTTAACACCTGACTTAGTGTTTGGCCGGGCTGTGAGAGTGGACGATACTACAGCTTTACAATGCATGCCGCGAAAAAAGAGCCACGTTCTGTAACCACCTCCGAAAATGATGTCGGGTCCGACAATTGAATGTGTGCAATACAGTGATTTTTATGTCATGTCTTAACCGGCGGCGAGTATTCAAACCACATCTGACTGCATCTAAGTGTCTTAAATAGCATTGCAAATATGAAACCAATAACAACATGAATTCGTTCTGAATTTCATCCATAAGTGTTGTGTCGGAATGGCGCATTGAGCGCCAGGCGTCAAGACAGGAGGCGATACCTTCCACTACTTACCGGAATAGATGTAGCGCCGTAACGCCGTTACCACTATAATACGATTGTTCGTGCGTTTTCATCCATGATCCGCATTTATTGCAGCCCCCAACTACTTGGTTGATTTACTCATTGCCGCAATATTCTCCCGCTAACAATAATGATGACTCTAACTCCCCGAGGTTTTCAGTTGGTTTCCTGTTGCCTTGTGTCCTTCGCCACGCGTCCACCACAGCTATGCATCGCTTCTTCGCCGTGCTGACCTTGCCCAGTCCCTTCACCACCTGTGACGGCCACGCAGTCCTGCACTTACGGATTCCATCGTCGCAGCACTTGCCGATTCCATTACCGCAGCATTTCCGGTTCCATTGCGAAAAAGGGTGTGTTTTTGCTGCAGCTACATGAGTGGCTAACGATAATTAATAAGTTACGCATCAGTTACTAACGTGCGGCGTCGTGAGATAGCTAATAATATGTGTATGACTCGTTACCTCGGAGAAATGCAAGTCAGAGATGTTATTTACATTGTGAAACCACCCGTTTCGTGGGTGGGTAGCGTTCCAATGTTTTCTTCAGCGCTGCAGCCCCGTCTCTTTCAGGTCTACAGCTACCTTACTGTTTGAATGTTTGTAGGCAACGGACACCATCTTGCCACTGCGATCAGATGCCTGTTCATTTTAGAGCGCACCTTCAGTCAAAGCTTTTTGTTGTGCTTTGCACGCATTATTTAATAATTACTAAAGCGTAGGGCCTTGAAGGTATTCTGTAAAGAGACGCACAGCTGGATAAGGACCGTTTTAACCCGTCCGTTCGCTGCTGGTGAGGCCGCGGTCGCTTTAAGGGGCGCGTGTGGGCTGGGCGCGGCGTAGCAGCGGAGCTTCCGGCCGGGCTTGGGACGGTATGACGTGCCAGTGCGGTGCGGTGAGGCGCGTGTGGGCGGCCGGGTTATGGCTCCGCGCTGTGGAGGCGTGTGTGTGATGTTGCACCGGGCGTGGTCAGCTGGGTGGCGGCAGCCGTTTGCCGGAGCGCGCGCTCGATGGGTCACAACATGGCAGGCAGCCTGGCCCGCCCCCCGCCCCGGCTGCCCGCGCTAGGTAGTTCGGGGAGTGGCCGCCGAGCGGCGCTGCGCTGTGGTGGATCTCGGTTGTGAGGTGGCGCCCAGGCTGCGTCGCACGTGTTCAACTGCCGATTGCGGTCTGTTAGAAGCGCTCTGGTAGGCGCGCGGCATGCATTGTCATCGCGTGTGTGTTAGTCACACCCGAATTTCGCTTCCGCGCCGGAGGTTCCGTTCCTGCCTCGGCTCTCCCAGTCAGGGGTCCATCGGCGTCGGCAGTTAGTTGTGTGTCCTTGCAGCATTAGTTGCACAAAGCTGTCGGTGGCTACCGTCGTTCGAGCTCTCGATTCCCGCCGGTTAACGCTGTGACTTGGGGCCCTGCTGCGCTGAAGGTGGCCGCCGGTGGCCCCAACTCTCGCTCCCGCGAGCGGGAGGGGGGAGGGGCTCTCGGGACCGTTTTGTTCTGTTCAGTCTTTGCCACGGCTGTCTGAGCCACATGTGTCACGTTATGTATAAAAGTAAAAATATATTAGAGAAGCACCATGAGTCAGTTGAGTTAGCAAATTCAGTAGAGTTCACAAAGCGTGGCGGCGCCTGGATTCTTTGGACTCCTTCGTATCCATCGCTAAGGTTATGTTGATACGTGCCCTTAATCGATGTGAAGAGGTCTGTACAGGAAATCTGGAACATCGATGATTGACGGTTCCTTCCTTGCGCGTGAGAGATCAGGAAAGATGGAGGACGTCTACACGGAGCATGATTGAGAGGAAAACCAGGTGCGACACTTTCGGCTTGAAAATTTGTCACGCCACTTAAAGCATTGGGTACCATCAAAAGCTGCTTACACGGCATCGACCACACACCACTGCCTGCGCCATTTCCATCTTATTTGGGATTAACACGCATTAAAACTGTGATGATTAAAAACTGCTAATTCGGATTTTAGTGCGTTCAGCCCCCGCATTCGTCACGTATGCGCTATAAGCGTAATATGTTATGTACCGAGCTGGTGCAAATTCGCGTCTCGTCTCCATCGCCCATTCTGCTATTTTGATTCCTTTTTTGCTGCGGACATTAAAGCTCATTCTTTGCGGCTATGTGAAGATTCAGAGAATTGGTATGTTTCGTGGATACCATGTGCTACTGGGATGATGTATGGATAGATTGGAAAAGTAAACCACTCTACCGCGTCAATTCGAAATCGTAAACTTTAGCTTAATACTAAACCATCTGTGTATGATCGTCTATCGCTTCTCCTCCTTACCTTACCTTACCTTATAGTGATCAGGAATTATAAAATGCCACTAGGCCTGTCGGTCCCCGTCTCGCCAGGCTCCCGGTCCGGTAACCAAACAGTCCCAAATTATGGGTGCATTCAGTGTGGGATGTTATACATGATGTCAGCCTAGTGCATATCAAGCCTAGACTTGAACTGTTTAACTGAGGTTGGCGACACGACTGGGTGCGGAAGAGCGTTCCAGTCGTTGACAACCGCGTGCTTCTCGTTGTTTACCTGTTTGATTGATCGGCTGAAACGATGCTGGCTTATCTGGTATTTCAAGTCATATCTGGTATGTTTCACATCATGATGATGAATGATGATGTTACAGAGGATGCGGGTAGAAGCCCTGGCTACAGTGATGATTTTCAGCAAATGTGGTTTTATGTTATTTCTCTTCATGTTCACCCATGTTTAGCATTGCTCAGGGCCGGTCTGTAAAATTCAAGCCACTGCACTAAGATGCCTTTTGTGACAGTGGTGCACTACAGTCTACACTGAAACCTTCAAATTGTTTTTGTGTGAAAGAGTTTTGGAGGTAATCTTGCCTGAAATTGTCTTCTCACTGCCATACTTAATTGAGGCCTGGGTTGGGTTCATTATGCCCTGTTATTGGTGATGACTGTGTACAAAACTGAGAGATCTGATGTGCAGCATACATGGTCTGAAATGTCACCAGATGTCACTGTTATGCTATTTATGTTCAGAGTAACATGCATACTTTGCATTTTGGCACTAGGGCATCTTATCTCCTTTCCCTTATCCACCCTTGGTTTTATCTGTCACCCCTGAGCACAT